TTCTACCCTTTCATGCAGAAAAACATTTATGAAGTCCTACGAGAGTCTGGATACTTACACATCCAAGCCACCAAACCAGACACTGCAGGTAATGTACCCTCTCTGTATCCCTGTGAACATGCTGCACTAATCACTTGTGGTACATGAAAACAAAGGCCAGCCAAATTTGAGAAGCAGTGACTTCTGGTGACTTGAGTGCAAGACTCATGGGAGTAATGAGTTTATGGGAATGAGAACTGTATAAAATGAAGCTAAAAGAAACCACTCAAAAAAAATGGAGATTTCAAGTATATCTTTTCAAGGTCTTTTAAATAGTACACCACTTTCCTTGAGAATGAACCCATTGCCATAGAGTCCTTCAAAAGTAAAACACAGGGTTCTGAAATGGAATCTTTGAGAAGTAAATGGGGCTGAAAACAAGAGAAATATCACAAGCAAAGAGGTGCAATGTGAAAGTTGCAAAAAGGTAGACAAAGCTCAAACACCTGAAAAGCCAGAATGCTGACATCCTGGAGGCCAGTGGATAAGGCCTGTGAAGAAAGATATGGCCATTTCATTATGCTAAGAGGAACTCTTTGCATCAGTACCCACCAGAGAGGATTCTGACTTTATTGAAGTCAGCCCTCAACAGGAAAGACAGCAGAGCTGTCTCAGGCCGGTGTCAGATTTGGAGACCAGAGAACAAACAGCCCCCCATCCCAGCAATTCACCAAAGGAGAAGAAGCTTAAACTGGAATGTCAGTGAATGCCTAGACTATTGCTTGAAGTGATTGCAAACCCAAAGAAATAAAAGGAGATAAACAATATATGAGGTGGGAGGGAGCCATTGTGGCAGTAGTGTTTCTGGTTGCTTGGGTGTTTTTAAGGGCCAAAAAGTGAAGGGATCCACAAAAAAAATGAAGATCAGTATATCTAGTCTCTCTCTGATCAGAAATCTGACAGGATTGTTTAAACAAGGAGAATTGATTTACGGGGGATAATATCACAGGGAAATCATGCTTCAAGAATCAGAGTTCTGGCAGAATCAAACAGCTGTAGATCCACTAATGGAACTAATATAATTTCCAAAAATATTTTGTTGGGGTTCCTTCCCCAGCATCCTTAAAAAATTGAACTGCCTTAAGAAAAGAAAGCTAGTCAACATGAGAATCCAAGCACAGGAATAAATCCACAAGTTCCAGGGGAAGGAGAAAATCACAAAAATCTGTGCTGACATCTGTACCCTTTAACAAGATCCTAGCTTCTCTATGAATAAAAGTTAATAATTAGATGTAAAACTGACAGTTATCCAAGCTTTGGTTTATAAGTGACTGGTTGATAAAACCAGCCAATAAAACCTGATATCAACAAAGTTCAAAGCAGTTTAAGTGGGTTCAAGTTTGGCTGCTCCCGTATGAGAGATTCCATGAGTCAAAGGTAGTGCTCTCAAAAATCAGCTGGATCAAAGATTAGGGCACTTTTGCAAACTCTAAAAAAAATGAAAAGCAAAACCACAGAATCCCTTATATTTGTGATATTCTGAATCTATTGTATTCTTGTTCACCCTGTTTCATACATATATTTTAGAATCAGAATACAGCCCATCCTAAGCAGAACAGTGCTCCCAAATATTTTATCTGACATTTCTTTTCAGACTGCCATCTCTTTACATCTGAATTTGCTCCTTTTGCCACACATCACCAAGAAGCCAATGGATCTTCCTTAACTCCCAGCTTCTTTTGTATAGGAACTATCTGAATTTGTAGTGCCCTCAGATACAGCCAGAATTCCTCTGCAGGGAATTTGTCACAAATAAAGTACTATAAGGGATAGATAAATAGAGACTCTCTGTGTACTGAATTCTCTAGAAAACTCTGAGCTCTTCATCAAAGTCCAGTTTAACTTGAACTGAAGTATTGCAATGCCAGGCAACTGCAACAGCTCTTCTCCTCGCTTAGGTTGTGGACTGAATGACTCCCCAGTGGGGCTTGCTGCCTATATTATGGAGAAATTCTCAACCTGGACAGACAAATCATTTCGGAATAAAGATGACGGAGGCTTGGAAAGGTAAGATGTTAGGTTATGTTATTTTGTGAGAAGTCTCATTAAAAGAATGACTGGTGGGAACTAATATGAGGATACAGGTAAGATACTAGCCTGGCAAAGCTGAAATTTAGGGAGGAAAGGCTGACATGACAAGCACTAGTTTAAACTTAGAGCAGACTGCCTGCACACTACTGCTTCAGCATCAGGTGGTTTTGCTCTGAACACACAGGTACCAACTAATCTGCTGCTTGAAAATAAGCAGAGATTAAGGGGGACAGCAGTTCTTGAGGGCATGAGCCTAGCATAGAGCGCGGAAGAACGGCTTCCAGTTAAATTTCTTCCTCTCTCTCTCTCTCAACAGCAAATACTCTCTTGATGAGCTTTTGACCAATGTGATGATTTATTGGGTGACATCCTCCATTGTGTCTTCAATGAGATACTACAAGGAAAACTTTTCCAAGGACCCAAGAATTCATGACAGGTAATTATGTGGCAAGTTGCAAGGCAGATTTGCAAATGAGGTTGAAACATTTGCCTGTACCGACAGTTAGATCACTTACAACAGCACATTTAATTCTGAGAAAAATGAAAGTCCAAATTCTTACTTGCTTTGGATAAATATAGTTAAGGGTCACTTTTCTTTTGAACCCATAATGCACACAGGGTAGCTTGCAGCCAAGACAAGGCAAAAGACTTAAAGCACCAAGCAAAGTCTTGTGGTCAAAATACAAGTCTATATACTTATTCACCAAGCAAATGTGACTTGTAGCCCAGTTCAGTGAAAACAAAACAGAAGATCATGGGCATACCAAAGAGAGAAGTATAAACTGAATTAGGAAGGCTACTGCTTGCTGCAGGATAAGCTAAGAACTACAAGAGTTAAGCACAAACCTGGGGTAGCAACTTGGAGAGCAGTACTTGAAACCCAGCACCTTGTGACAGCTGGTTCATTAAGATGATGCTAAGAAAGGCTGACCACAAAATGTTGCTGAGCAGACAAGTAACTGATCATCTGAACAAGTGGGAGAGTCTTTTTCTTGGAGGACTGAACCAGCCCCTTTCCTCTCCAGAGAGTAATTTGTTATGCATTTGGTATCATATTCTAAAGCAAACAGGGGCTGGCTCATTTCACAAAGAGGTGTGGTATCTTGTCATGTAGCACAACACTTACAAAAGTTAAACTCAAAGATGGAACATTTCAAGATCAACCCATGTGCAAACTTGGCTCTACTTTGCACCTCTACAGATATCTTCTAAAACTCAATGATACCTGAATAGAAATGAAGCTCCTCAGTGGAGTGCAGACCAGGGGGTGCACTGCACAAAGCGGGGAAACTTCTCCAGCTGAATGTGTTCCCAGAGACAGAGGTTTTATAGACTGCCCCCAGGACTGGTTTCAACAATACAATGAACTTCTGTCTTCCAGGGTTAGCGTACACGTTCCCACAGGGATTGCAGCCTTTCCTCAGGAGATTGTACACGTACCACGTGTCTGGACAAAGAATGTCTACAAGAACATCGTCACTTACACTTACATGCCACGTGGAGGGCATTTTGCTGCCTTTGAGGAACCAAAGCTCCTGGCACAAGACATCATGCAGTTTGTCCGAAAAGTGGAACAGCTGTGAGCCTGCAGTTGAAATATGTGCACAGAATGGAAACAAGTGGCTCTACCAGTGACAGAACCTTTAGACTGGGTTTGTTTAATCCCTCAAAATAATCACATATAGAAGCCAGCATTTTATTTTGATAATAATTACAGTCTTGATTTTTAAAATTCAATTAGTAATGTTTTCATAAGGAAAAAAAAAAAAACAAAACAAAACATCCAAAACGCATTTTGTGTTCCTTAGTTCCCAGCACCCTATCATTGCTGCATTCATAGTTCAAGTATAACAGAATATGTAAACAGTTTATTGCAGTAACATTGCACTCAACTGAGGAAGAGAGGTGAAAGGAACTGACCAAGGCTTCTGTTTAAAAGCTTCTTTAAACACTTGGGCACCTGCATTCTTAAACATGTGTTACAAGCAGCTTTGGTGGAAGCATAAAAGGCTTTGATCTCCTGAGCACAACCACTCCTACATTCAAGTTATATTTTTCCTTCAAGAGGCCTGAGATTCCATATTCAAGTGGGCAGCTGCACATAAGGCAGCTTTCAGCACTCAAAGTTCTTCCCCTAGAACAAGCTTAAGAAGCAGCTACTGCACATTGTAAACAGATATTAATGGATACTACAGCAGAGAGGGCACTCTAGTGTTCTCCAAGCTCAAAAATTCCAAATTAAGTTCCTACTACTTCTATCATCTCATTCCATCAAAAAAGGTCAAAGTTAAAATATGCACCAAGTGTAGAGGGTTACTTCAACCTTCACCCTCACAAAGGACTTTTACCATCCCATTGTGCATTTTTGACTAGTAACAGCAAACACCCTCACTACCAGTAGGTTCACCTTTCTCTTCAAGTGGGATGGAGTTATTTCAAGCTACTGAAAGCTCATTACAGCACAGATAATTGCACAGCAGACTGAAGACAATACCAGCAGATATCTAGCTCTAACACACTGCTCCCAGGGCTTCTCTCCCTGTCCTGTTCTGCAGCAGACACCAGCCCAGAAGAACAGGCTCAAGTTCTGATTCTAGCTAATACAGTCTGACTAAGAACACGAATTTGGCAGGTAAAGATAGGGCTAAACTTGATCACATTCCCCTGATTTCTATGCATTTCAGAAACTCAAGTTTCTTCCTTGAGTGAGAGTAACCTTCCATTATTGCAGCAGCACTCCTAAATTTCTCTGAAGAGGGTTAGCAAAGAAACTGCTTACTTTTAATCTTATATCTAACCAATTGTCAGGGCTGTTAGGCAAATATTAGTAAAAAATATAAAATTGCTTATTGCTACCCTGCCTCCAGAGTACTGGTCTCTTTCCATCTCCAAGACACCACTAGCTACAAGATTTTTTAGTTGCTGAAAAGTCTTACTTTGGAGTGTTAAGGAACAGAAAGTGAGTTATGGGAAAGTGTAATTTTACCAAATAGACAGACAAGCACTTGAATACTCAAGAGGGGCGCACACCACGGCAGCTGAGGCAGCGTCGGGAGCTGCGGCTGCTGCTTGCAGGGTTGCCAGGGACCCTGGAAGCGGCTCCGCCCATCTCCACGGCAGCCCTGGCCCTTGGCAGGAACTGCCTTCATCCTGCCCCATTCTTTACTAGCTGGGAATAAATCCCTCTGCTGCAACAATGTTACCTCTGGGCGTCGGTCCGGTTTCGCCCGCGGGTTTTCCTGCTGTGGGGAGCCTTTTAAGGCCTGCAGGATTTCCTCCCAGAGTTATTTTGCAGGAAGTAACTTCACCTAAGACAGCCTATGGGTAACATGGCAAAGGCAGGGTCAGAAAACGGCCATATTAAAACGCAGGAGGAGATTGTATGTATCCAGTTCAGCAAGCACTCAGCAGGGAAGTTTTACTCCCAACACGTTAATTCATCCCGAGTCACAGATCAGGTCCCTAAGGAATCACTGGACTTGTGTGCAACTGTGCCTTAAAGTGGATTTGCCTTCAACAACAACTCGGGAAATAAGGACAACAGAGGAGCGCAGCAAGATACAGGAAGGCAGAGTAGACACCATGAAAAAAAAATTCAGGCACACATGGTTCAAAAATACACGGTTACATTTGCTAAAATTAACACCTAAGGAATAAAAAGGTAATCAATATTCCAGTTAAATTTCTATGGAAAACCATTCATTCACTAAAGCCTTTGAGGGTCACTGGGGCTTGGAACCAGACATAGTCCTCCCAAGAAGGTGCTGTGTGCTGTGGAGGTGAGGCACTGACGTGGAGGTCTCCATCACAGGACAGCTTAACAGTCAGCTTCCTCCCTCGGCTCGGCACTTGGTAGTTGAGCCTGGGCCGGAACCACTCAACACCACAGTCACGGTGGCCCTGGACCAGGACAAGAGTGCCTGTCACAGGGAGAGCCTTAAGTTCGCTGAAGACATCAGCAACAAACAGGCGGTGAAAGAGCTGGCGAACACAGGGCGCGGTCTGGAGGCTCTCTTCAGCAGAGCCCTCACAGAACCCCTCTAAATTCAGCTCATAGAGCTCCTTGGGGTTCATGACGTTGCCTCCAAGTAGGAAAAGAACCCGAGGAACCAGTGTCAGACTAAACATGACTTCCAGGTGCTGGAACAATCCCTCCAGCTCCGTCAGCAACTGCTGGCACTTTCTGCTTGCCAGGCCCAGGGAACGTGGTTTGTCAATTCCATCTCCACCCTCGAAAATAAAAATTCACATTAACACATTTAGTTATGAACATGTATTATACTCTGCAGAAAGCATGGCCCATCCCAGAGTGTCAAGGAACCAGCAGCTTGTGTTCATTTTGAGAGCTACAGGTACCCACATGGGGAAGACGCACATCTACTCCCCACATCAGGAGATGCAAGAGGAACACAAGAGCACAATCCATAGCTACTCAGTTAGAATCTGAATCTCGCTACTAAATGAATTCCAATAGGAATTAGAAACCCATTTTTCAAAGATCAGCCACCTCTCTGAAATCACTTAATAGTACCTTTTTTGTTTGGTTGGTTTTTTTGCTCAGAGGTAACAAACAAAGCAGTAACACGCTTTGAGCAGAAAGCGGGAAGCAATCAATTAAGAACAATTTGTCGGCACCTTCAGCAGCCTGAACTTAAGGCTGCCTTTGCCTCGTTTTGAAAAGAAGAGGTTACATTTAGGGATGCAGCCACGACAAGCCCTTTACTTGAAAAGCGCCGACACGTCGCCGTGCGAGTCCCCAAGGGAGAACAGGGGCTCGCAAGCAAACCTCAAACTCCACGGCCTCCCTAATCCCTGGCCCAGGGGCCGCCCCGAGCACGGGTCGGACCCCGCGGCCGCCGCGCCTCACCTGGGCCGCCCGCCGGCAGAAGTAGGCCAGCTGCTCGTAGGGCAGCGGGAGCTGGTTCCGCTGGTGCAGGACGTGCTTCAGGAGCTCGCACGCGAAGCGGTAGCCGCTGCCCCGGCACACAGCTCCCGGGAAGGCCACGGCCACGGCCACGGCCACGGCCGGGCTGCCCAGCACCGCCCTGTCCCCCCGAGGCCCCATCCCGCTGCCGCCGCGATCCAGCCCCGCCAGCGCCGAGAGCGAGAAACCGTAGCACGCACACCACCCCCAACGGCCGCCGCGGTTTAAATGCCGCCGCCGCCGCGCAGCCTCACGGGAGCGGCGCACGGGCCGCACTGCGTGGTGGACGGGCTGGGAGGCGGGGTCTCTGCGTAGCCCCGCCCCTCTGCTCCCCCGCCCGCTCCCGTCCCGGGGCCGCCTGGCTGAGGCCGTGCCCGGAGCTCGGGCTGCTTCCTGCAGGGCTGTCCGGGGAGGGCCGCAGGAAGCGGCTCCGGTGTCCCCCGCCCCGCTCCCGGCAGCCCTGGCGGCTACGCTGTCGTGCAGAGGAGCCGCCGCCGCGCTGCCGCGGGGAGGCGGAGGCGGGGAGCGTGCAGGGAGTGCCGTGTTTGGAAACATTGTGCCTAGCGCCCCATTGGGTGCCGCCTCCAGCACACGGGGAGTGGAGGGCGGGATGGCGAGAGGAGCCGCTCCGAGGCTGCCTTATCGGAACCGCGGCCATCTGCGCGGAACGCCACGGAGGGTGTCGGTTGTACACGAACAATGACCCAGAGTCGCTCTCCCCAGGGCATGCGGCGGGGAAAGGGAAGGCGCAGTGGCCGTGGAACTGGAGACTGGGAATTGAGGGGATGCGGCGCACAGCTAGAGGTTATTTTGCTATTCCGGCCGCCCCCCCGGTTGGATCTTAATGTGTGCTATGAGATCGCTCTGCATCGGGCTGCTGCCTCTGCGTAGTCATGAGGTACCTCCAATGCCAAACAGCTTCGAAAATGCCCCAGTTTCCCGAATCCAGAATGACTGATCCCTCGATGTCAATAACCAGGGAACCCGGGCTGTGAGCTGCCAAAGGGATAACCCACGGGCGACCGCAGATCCCGGCGAGGGGGCCCGGAGAGCGGTGGCATCCCGCGCGTTGTCGGCCGCGGCCGACAGGCGGCGCCCTCTCCCTTGGACTCCAACTCCCATCAGCCCCCGCGGATGGAACCCGTACGGGAGCGAGCTGGTTGCGCCGCAGGGCACGCCGGGAGATGTAGTTTCGAGCGGATGGCGCGCGGAGCGTTCTCGGCGTCGTAGGCGGGCGGGACTCGCTTTCCCGGGGCGCCGCGCGGCGGTCGGTGACGCCGGGGCCGGAGCCGGGCCGGAGGGGCCGGGCGGGGAACGGAGCGGGTGCTGCAGGGGGCGGCGGGGCCGCGGTGTCCGCTATGGACTCGCGGGTGTCAGAGCTGTTCGGGGGCTGCTGTCGACCGGCGGGCGGCGGGGCAAGCGCAGCCCTGCGCGGACGCGGGGGGGCCGCGCCTGGCGGCGGCGGCGGCTCGAAGACGAAGAAGAAGAATGGGCGGAGCCGCGGAGGGAAGGCCAACAACCCCCCGTACCTGCCGCCCGAGGTGAGCTCCGGCGGCCGCCGCGTCCCCTCAGCCGCGGAGGGAGGGAGACCAGGCCCGGGGGCGGGGGGCGCTGCCGCTGAGGGGCGGGAGGGGCCGGAGCTCGGTGCCCCCCGGAGCGGATCGGTGCCACGGCCGGACCCCGCAGGTTGGTGGCGGCTCTGGCTGGAGGTGCCGGCGGTGCTGGTGCGGCGCCGTGCCGGGGTCGGGCTGACAGCAGCCCTAGGAGCTGTCCTGCAGCCCCGGTGTGCCCGTCTGTCCCGGGCTCTCCTCCGGGCCGTGCCCGCGCCCCTGATGCCAGCGAGGTCCCTGCGGGCTCCACCGGAGCCTGTCCGTGAGTCGTATCGCACTGCCTGGCGTCTGTCTGTGGGCGCTTTGCCGCCTGCCATCGAAATAGCTTCGAAAATAAAGCTTTGCTCGCCTCGTAGTTCCAAACATCCCGTTTGCATCTCTCCCTCCCCGAGAGACGATCTGGTGGGTCTGAGCCCCTTTCCAGCTGCCAGATGGGTTGCGGTGATTCCCTTCCCAGCTAATCTGACAGCTGGCTCCTTCCATAGGGCTGCAGGGGCCACGGACAGAGGGTGAGGCACCTGTCTCTTGCAGCAGGAAGAATGGCATCGGTAGTACCGCGGATGTGTGCTCAGCTGGGGCAGTTGTCACCGCTCTCATAGAACTGTCACTGTGGGCAGAATGACGTTGGCTCAGACTCAATTGCTTGGCCCCTGTCAGTGAACTTTCTGTAAAATAAATAATAGCCTGTACTGGGAGGGAGCCATTCCTCCACAGGGCAGGCCTGGGACTCTTGGGAAGATATGAAAACAGCGCTTTGCTACTGTTAGATCTTCTCCACGGGCAGGACTGTGCCCTGCAGCCGCAGTTTCGTTCTTGTTCCATTCAGCTGGAGGCTGGAGAGTCCCCTGTGGTTTCAACTCAGCTTCCTGTTTCTGGCTACCCTGTGCACTGTGTGCCCCAGCAAGTCGAGGCTTGTTGCTTTTCTAGTCTCAAGTGCCTTGGAGAAGACCCACTCCCTTATTTAGATGACAGTGCAGTAGGTGAATGGGTTTTGCTTAGAAGTGGAAAGCTGGTAGATGGCAAGAGAGGAAAACCTGCTAAAAGTGCCTTTTTCTCACAGCACAGCTCTGCTGCCAGAGAACTGAGCTGACAGTTGAGAACTTGTTGGCCTTTTGCCACTGTAAGCACCGCTGTGGTTAAGAGCTGAGCTGGAAGGCAAGGAGAGGGCTGTTGTCTCTCCTGACATGCAAATAGGTATCCAGAGGAAAAGGAAGTGCTTACTGTTGCCAGCCCCATTTAGTCTGACAGAGTATGTGGCTGCCTGCAGGCTTCAGCCCTTTCTTAGTGGTCCTTATACTGAATCACTGGGAAGAATTACTTAAATATTGTATATCTAATTGTAAAATTAGACATTCTCTTTGATAAGCTGGAGCCTGTTTTGGTTGAATTGAGCTTGATGAGTACCCAGACCTTTCTGTTACAACCCCATCTGGCTTTCCCTGAGAAAGTACTTCTGAGCATATTGTGTACATAGTCCCAATCAGGTCTGGTTCTCCAGAACTCTGGCCAGTGACTAGCTGGCAGATGAGTCATTACCTCACTTCTTTATGTCTGTAGTTCTTCCTTGTAGAGAGAAGATACATAAATATGTAGCAGGAAGTCAGTGAAAAACTAATTGAGTGAGGGAGAGTATCATTGAGCAGGAGAGGAAGCAGAAGCTTTTGTTCACAGGCCCCTGTTTCTGTGCGCATTGGATGGATGGAAGCTGCTGGATAGGGTGGGAGTGGGATGCTGTGGGTGGCATTTTGTGGGTCATGGATGGGTGAGGGAGGAGACTTTAAATCATATGCTGGCCTGTACCTTTTTGAAACTGGAACTCTCTCTCTCTCTCTGTGACTGTTAGGCTGGCCCTATTCTTTACTGTCCAGAAAATAATTCCCCCTGGATAGTATTACCCTTGTGCCCCACTCTAGTTTTGTCCTTTGGTGTTCATGATGGGGGATACAAACAAACAAACCATAAGGAAAGTTCTAGTTAAGTGTAGGAAAGAATGGCAGAAGGCTGGGACCTAACACAGTCTCTTTCTGCCACTTTCCCTCTCTTTGAAATCTTCAGCACCAGTTTCAGAATATATTTCCGCAGCTGGTGCCTGTAGAAGTCTCTGTGGGCATAGCATCTAACTCTTCTGTCTTGTTTCATTCTCTGACCAGGCAGAAGATGGAAACATCGAGTACAAGGTGAGTCTTTTGAGGTTGCAGAAGGAGGTCTTCCTCCCAGAGGGTTATTTTGCAGTGAGTAACTTCACCAAAGACAGCCTGTGGGTAACATGGCCAAGGAAAGGACAGAAGAGTGGACACTGCAGTAAGGAACTACCATTCATCTTCTGTGTCTCTTTGCCAAGCACTACCCAGTCTGCTGAGCTGGAAAAGCTTGATCTCAGTACTGACTTTTAGGAACCTCTTCTAGTATGTGATGCCTACTGTATTTTTCTTGAGAGAGAGATGCAGATATCCCTGAAAATGATTTGCCACTTTCTTGTGGCTCTCTGCCAGTTTTGCACTTATTGGTTCCTGGATCACAGATTGGTCCCAGAGTGCTGTCTTTAACCCTGCAGCAGGCAGGGTACAGATCCCTTTGTCAGGATGAGGAAAAATTTTCCTACCATATATTTGTACCTTTGTGAAACCCCTTTTCACCTGTCCCACGGCTTCTGTCCAGACACTGATACAGGCTGTGCTTTCTAGGGGTGGGTCAGAGTTGGGAACATTGCTTCACAGAATTGGGCAATGGGATTGCCTCTGCATCCAGGCTGTGACTAGAACTGCCCCTCTGTTAAACAGCTGAAGCTGGTGAACCCCTCTCAGTACCGCTTTGAGCACCTGGTGACGCAGATGAAGTGGCGGCTGCAGGAGGGCCGAGGGGAGGCCGTCTATCAGATCGGCGTGGAGGACAACGGGCTGCTGGTGGGCCTCTCGGAGGAGGAGATGCGCGCCTCGCTCAAGACGCTGCGCCGCATGGCAGAGAAGTACGTGCTCCCTTTGTCTGCGGGGCCACCAGCGTGACTGCCTGCAGTCCCCTGAGCAGCTGGCAGCTCCATCCTACAAAGCCCTGTATGACTGACATTCCTTCAGTCCTGAGGCTCTGGAAGCATGAGGAAAGTTATAGGGCTTTTGTCTGGAAGCTTGAGGCTCCTTCCCTGCTATCCCCAGCCTTCATCCCCTTTGCTTTGTCAGCTGTTATCGTAGAGGTGCAAGAACTGTCAAGTACAAATGTGTGATGCTGTTCACAGGGGTCTCAGGTTGAGGGAAGAGACGAGGATTTGACTTTATGTTTCTGAAGGCTTGATTTATTATTTTATTATATATGTTACATTAAAACTATACTAAAAGAATAGAAGAATAGATTTCATCAGAAGGCTAGCTAAGAATAGAATAAGACGAAATGATAACAAAAGCTTCTGTCTCAGACAGAGAGTCCGAGCTAGCTGACTGTGATTGGCCATTAATCAAAAACAACAAACATGGGCCAATCAAAGATCCACCTGTTGCATTCCACAGCAGCAGACAATCAATGCTGACATTTTGTTCTTGA